TTAGTGATCATGAAATGAAAGATTGAATTTTAATAAATAAAGAAACCATACCTTAGATAATTTGTTTCTTTTTTCATCCCAGAGTAAACATCAACTCTCTGAGATGCAGGTGCATATGGTTGACGAGTCCGAAACCGGACGAAAAAAGTGCGTCCTGGATCCCACTGCTAGCCACCATCCATCTTTGCTTACAAAAAGCTTGTGAATTAAGGTAATATCGAGGCATACGCACAGTATGCACATATGTCAATAACAGACTGATCATTTGCAGTCTTAAACCTCAATGGGAAGATACAAGCCAAACAATAACAAGTGAATCTTGTGATTTGTTCAAGTTTTCAAAAATATTGTTATAGGCAAAGATGGATGATAGTTAGCAGTGGAATCTAGTATATCCAGTTGATGAATCCTAAATAGGACGAAACAAGCGTCGATTGCCAGTCACCACCTATCACTGGATATGACCATTCAAAATTGATACCACGATTAGAGGAACCACGACAATCACATAGAAAAACAGCATAACCAAAATGACAAAATAATTGAGCATGAGCAAATCTATTTCAAGTGATCAATAGAAAGTAAACAAATATCAGTTACAATCACTAAATAAATTATCGATCATTATCAAATATTTCTTTTCAACAGAAAAAAAACACATCCATCCAGAGATAAGATCGATAATATGAGCTACACAGTAAAAACGGTACTTTTCCATTTCACATAGATTCTCTTAAAAGTAGAAATATTGGATATCGGGTAGGTTGGAAATCATACTTGGGTTCTACTGATTATGTATTAGCCTAAACGACTTTCCTTCATTTCTACTGATTATTTGAATCTTTCCATTAATGTTTAACATTGTGATTGATCAGTCTCGTTCTTCGTAACGAACAAAAACGAGTGTCAGTTAATAGGTATCTCAAAAAAAACTGGACTAGTAATGGTTTAGGTGAACTAACAGTCAATGGGTATATGGACTCAGTAGCTAAGTGGACGAAGCAATGACATTTGAAGTGAACGCTATTGGGTTCGAATCTCGGAGTGAACATCAACTCTGAGATGCAGGTACATCCAGATGACGAGTCCCAAATAGAGCGAGTCGTACGTCCTGGATTCCACTGCTAACCACTATCAATCGTTGCTTATATTGCTTGTGATTTAAGGCAATGCGCACAGTATGCGCATATGCCAATAAGAGACTGATCAATGGGTAGATTCAAACGAACAATACAAAAATGAACTATATTATTCTTATTATGTAATAAGATAGTATCGAGAAATAAACATTCATAGTGTAGGCCGGAAAGCTCTTATGTTGTTCTTTTTAGAAAAGATTATATTGATATATTTCAAACACAAATATTATTATAACTAGGCATCAAAAGAAATATGCACATATTTTCTTGAGTTGTAGTCATCATAAAATTCGTGTATGAGATGGGATACTTTCTGTTTGCCTAAACTAATTCAAGTGTTTTCATTAAGAGAGATTCCTCGAGACTTTTATTAAGACGTCTAATTAACAAGATAACGTCAATGAATCCAATCCAATGGTAATTAGTATCCACAGATACGTTAATACACTTTGGGTCCCTCGAAATCCCAGAGCCCATATGCACAAATGATTTGGAATCAGGATTTTCTAACTCCTTCCAGTAGAACCTCTGTACCCGCTTTCGTAAAAAAGTAACTACTCATGTATATACGGTGAGTAGGTCCTCCCAGATATTAGCTATAAGCTCATAGTTGTATGATAGTATTTTCAGAGGAAAAGCGGACACACTCTCTCTCCACCCTCAAACGTACCGCGTTGTTTAAGGGTAGTTTTTCCTGTGAATATGATTTTATTTATTGTATGTTATGAGGTGTGCTATCCAGTGCTATGTTGAATGACAATTTCCCAGTTATACAATCGACTCCAAACTAATTGAAACACTCGATTCCAAGATATATCAACCAATCTTCTACATGAAACAGTAACCAAACTAACATTTTCGAATTCCGTGATAATGATAAAAAATTTGTTCAAATGAATTAATATAATATTACTTAGAAATAATTATTCTTTATCAGAAGGGGTTTTGTGGAGATTGTAGTAAATTCAGTAGTTGAGAGCATGTGTCGTTTGAAGCCAAACCACCATGGGAAACCTGGAAGTACTGAACAGCCGCTTCGTCCTATTGTGGGACTCCTCAGCAGTGCGCATCCACTACCCCGCCTCACGGGATTCGGGCAAGAGCTTATCAGTTTCACGCACGCTTAACCACTAGACCACTGCTGAATAGTCCCACAATAAGACGAAACGGCCGTCCACTGCTTCCAGGTTTTCCATGGAGGTTTAGCTTCAATTGACACATGATCTCAACTACTAAAATTACTACAATCTCCACAAAACCCCTTCTGATACTAATCAACATATGCTCACTAGTGACTGGTTTCAAGAGGTATATCCTGGAGTTCTAGTGAGAAGCAGTGACCAGTGGAGTTCAACCAGGTCAGTTGTGAGATAGTAACTCACTGATGACAGTGATGGGAGTATACTTTAGTAAGGGTCAATTAACTCTGAATAAACCTTGAGCTTATCCACACATACCATTATAAACATGTTTAGAGATTATATTATTTCTCCTCTCATGACATTCTTTCACAGTCATCTCATCGTGTTAATGTTGGTTAGACAACTTAAATAAATGTAAATATATAGTAGACCACTTGATGATTATTACTGATTGACAAGAAAGTCTTTAAGTTCACTTCATTCAACTATTTGTTAGCTATCATGATTCAGTATATTAACGGAGTTCATTTAAAAATTGTTGAATATCTCACCATTCTAGTTTTTGAGAATAATAATAATTTATATAGTTGAGATAATGAGTCAATTAAAGTTAGATCACCATGGAAAATCTGAAAGCACTGGACAGTCGTTTGATCCTATTATGGGACTACTCAGCAGTGCACAACCACGATCCCGCCCCGTGAGACTCGAACTCAGGACCTATCATTCTCTCACGTGAATGCTGAGGTTAAGCGTATATATATCTAATGGTAGGCATATTCTATTCATCCCTTCATAATATTCTAATATGATTGGAAATTTGTTAACCTATTATTACCAAAGAAGTCATATAATTGTACTAACGTGTAAATGACAGGTTAATCAAAACACTAGATAAGTATAGGTCTTTTTTATTATTTACCACGTTATTATGAACTCACTTGAATGACAATTATTTAACAACGATAGAGTGAATAACCAAAATTATAAACTTCTCCCTACTAAAAATCTTGACATACTTCCACATCATTAAGGATTATATGTCGATAAGACCAGTGACTTAGTATACGTTCTAACCAATTCAATCGATGAAGTTCCATAATCTCATCAAATGAGTAGTCATCATTTACCTAATACATTAACTCTAATATCAATATTACTACCTTAGTGATATCAATATACGAGAGAGAGAGATAGATAGCTTCAAAGACATATTTCGTTAAATACTAGTTACTAGTGACCTAAACAGAAACAGAAACCAGAGAAAACAACTGAATATTATAATTATTCTTCCATTGATAAACAAACAGATATTGACATTGTAACTCATACAGGTTAACCAAAAACGAAAACTGACAATCATCAATTCATGTGCTAAGATTTCATTAAATTCAAATCCTCTGCGGTCACGCTCCCAACACTAATCCAACTTCCTTTTCAGGTTCCTCAAGAAATACCCTTCCACGGTGTGGGCAACCGGGAAGTGATATCAGCCCTCATACCCGTAACAGCACACGAGACCAAGTTGGTCACATTCAAATCCTTCCTACACCTCCTAATACCTCTCTTATCTCCATGCCTAAACCTCCTCACGTCTCTTTATCACCTCGCACCGCCAGGGCAAACGATTCGAGTACGCGGAACGCTATTCACGGTCTCCTGAAACCACGCTCTAAACTACACGTAGGAGCTTTTAACGTCCGAACACTGTGCCAAGTAGGACAGCAGGCTTCCTTAGCTAAACTTTAGAATCTCGCGCCATCGATGTGTGCTGCGTCTCCGAAACGCGCATACAGGATCCGAGTAGCGTCATTCACTTGACCTCATCATGCCAAAATAAAGAACCGACTCGATTCACACTTCGTGTATCTGGAAGCCCTGATTCTACTTCCCGTGGCCTCGCGAGCGTAGGTATAGCATTGAGTCCTAGGGCAGAACTAGCTCTCTTAGACTGGATCCCAGTAGACAGTCGTTTGTGCGCTGTCCGACTAAACGGAACAGTAAGGATTCGGAAAGATAGGGACACTCGTCGTTGCCTCTTCGTCGTCTCTGCCTACTCTCCCACTGACTGCAGTGCAGATGATGTAAAAGATGAGTTTTACAGAAAGCTCTCTGACCTTCTCCGAAAAGCTAGGCGCTCGGATGTAGTAATAATGGCCGGTGACTTTGATGCTCAAGTAGGTAAACTAAGCGATAGAGAAAGACACCTAGGTGGATCTTATAGCATCGTAGCTCAAAGAACAGATAATGGCGACCGTCTGTTGCAGCTATGCTCAGATAACCGCCTCTTTCTTGCAAATACTAACTTTAGGCATAAGGAAAAAACATCTTTTAACATGTAAACCCCCTAATTCGTCCCAACGTTGGACCCAAATAGATCACATCGCTATCAGCCACCGATGGAGAGGCTCGATAGAAGACTGTCGCTCATTCTGGAGCACATGCTTAGATTCAGATCATGCTCTAGTACGAGCGCGTATCTGTCTGAGTCTTACTGGACGTAGGAAAGACGCTGCAAGGAAGCCTCTTAGGGCCCTAATTAATTATAGTCAAACTGAGAGTATATTTCAGGAAAAACTCGGAAAACAGTTAGGCAGCCATGTATGTGATGCCCTTGTGGTGGTCGGTATTCGATATAATCTTTAAACTTCGTATACAGCTCGTCTTGATAACCGTTCTATATAACGTCCCAACGGTTTATTAATCAGAAGGCAAATACGAAGTGTTGATTACGTTTATTACGAGACCACACACATATATCCAAATGTACAGATGCGTTAAACAAGCATAGAAGAGTTGTGCCGAAAGGTAAGCAAGCGAGAGAGAGCCATAGCAAGAGCGAGACGAGAGTGTGTGAGTGAGTGAGTGTGTATGAATAACATGGACATATATATACCATGTGAAATGAATGAGTAATCGAATCAAATAATCAGTTAGTAGTAAGACTAGCAGAGTGAATAAATGCGTAGGCCGTAAGCAATATTCAAGCATACGTATTTCATACAAGCACAAAATAATAAGAGTACAATAAGTTGTTATAGTGCGGATGACTTTGTCCGCTAAATGAGTTAGCAAAAGGGCTTAACTGAGTTAAATGAGAATGAACCCAATTGCACGTGAGTCGCTATACCCTCCCCAAGGCAGCATGAAATGATATCCGAAAAGCTGTGGAAACAGCAGTGATATCTGCTAGTAAGGTAAACCAGAAGGTTAGGGAGCAACACTGGATCTCAGCAGCATCTATCGCACTGATAGATGCTCAGAAACTCATTCCACCTGGCTCTGAACATAATGAAGAGCGCAGTCAGCTTAAGCGCAAGCTGACAAGAAGTCTACGCAATGACCGTGAACAGTGGTGGGTAGCGAAAGCAAGAGAGATGGAAAAGGCAGCGGCAATAGGTAATAGCAGACAATTGTTCAGACTTGTTAAGGAAACCGACTGTTAGCGAAACACTCAGAGAAAGATGGACATATTATACATTCTCAATCCAGGAGATTGGATCGATGGGCAGAACACTTTAGGGATCAGTTCAACTGGCCTTCAGCCACACTTCGGTTTCCCACGATCTCCAGTCAACCTGAATGGCAAGTTAGTGTAGGTCCTCCGACTATTTACGAAGTTGAAAATGCCATAGGAAATCTGAAGTGAGGAAGAGCAGCAGGCCCTGACAGGTTTACTCCTGAGATTTTTAAGAATGGTGGTCAAGTATTAGCAATAAGATTAACCGAGGTCTTAGGTAGAATTTGGGAACTGAACGTAATCCCATCTGACTGGTCTCAATCACTGATTGTGCCAGTCTATAAGGAAGGACAAAAGTCCTCTTGTGACAATCACACAGGAATCAGTTTGACTAATATAGTGTCTAAAAAATTAGCCTCAATAATACTTCGAAGCCTAATCAAAGCTCGTGAAGAGCAGATTAGAGAAAACCAGGCCGGTTTTCGACCTGGACGTGGTTGCATAGATCAGATAATCACACTACGTCAGGTTCTAGAACACAGACACACGTTCAGACGCCCCACAATGGTAGTATTTCTCGACCTTAAGGCGGCATTCGACTCTGTTGATCGTAAGGTTCTATGGCAGTGTTTGTCACTGAAAGGAGTACCAAAGAAGTACATTAACCTTATAAAGGCTCTCTACTCGAACACAACTGGTAGAGTGAGAGCTTATGGCGAACTGTCATCAGAACTGATTACCTCAAGTGGTGTTCGTCAGGGCTGCCCACTCTCCCCATTCTTGTTCAACTTTGTCGTCGACGTACTTTTAGAGATAACAATTTCCTTATCTAAATTTATTGGGGTTGAACTTCTACCGTGAGGTTCACTTGTTGACTTAGAATATGCTGATGACATAGTTTTATTTGGTGAAGACGCTGACAAAATGCAGAGTCTTCTGACCACTCTAATCAACAATGCAAGCATGTTCAAGATGTGATTCTCCCCCTCGAAATTCAAGATATCTCTTCAGGATTGGGTTGCATTGACACCCGAACTAATGATAGGGAGTGAAGTAATTGTGCGTGTCGATCGCTTCACTTATCTTGGAAGTCTCATCAACCCTTGTGGTCTGGTGTATGACGAACTCTCAGCACAGATACAGAAGGCTCGACTAGCTTTTACCAACTTGCGTCATTTATGGCGTAGGCGAGATATCCGTCTATCGACCAAAGGACATGTTTACTGCGCAGCAGTTCGTTCCGTCCTACATTATGGCAGTGAAACATGGCAGGTAAGAGTAGAGGATATCCGTAGGTTACTAGTATTTGATCATAGGTTTCTTCGAAATATTGCTCGTATATCATGGGACTATCGAGTAAGTAACGCAGTTGTTAGGAAACGGGTACTAGGTAAGGATGGAAAATCGATTGATGACGTAGTGAAACTTCATCAGTTGAGATGGCTGGGACATGTGTTACGTATGCTCAACCACCAACTGCCTCGACGTGCGATGTTTTATGGTGTACTAGTAGGTTGGAAGAAAGCTAGAGGCGGCCAGACCAAAACATGGAACAAGTCCATGAAGTCACTGACAAGTCGACTGAGTCATGTCGGTAGGTGTAGACTACCTGGTTGGGGACCGCGAGATGATAGCAACCGATGGTTAGAGACCCTGAATGACATGGCTCAAAATCGATTGCAATGGCTCAGGTGCATACACTCTTTGTGTTTTCCCAAATTCTAATCTCTTGATTCCTCCTTGTCTCTTTTTTTCTCTTCTCAAATTTATTTCACTGTATTATACCCTTTAAGTAACATCTCCAAACACTAATCTTCCCGATTACTGCTTATACTCTTATTACCTCTACCACTACGGGATTTGAATCGACCACTGCATCTCTATGCTAATGTAGTGTGGCAACTCGAACTGATGTACGTACGTACGAAGTTCTACGTTGTTACTGGCTGACTGACTAACAAATCCTCAACAACAACAACAACAAAAATGGAGTTTACCATTTTATATACATAATTCGAGAGAAATTATTTATAGTAATTAATTATTTAAATACTAAAAAAGAAAAGAATGAAAAGACAAATTAATGATTGACAAAAATAAAGTTAAATACTACTACTGAATACATGAAGTTAAATCACTGAACATAAGTATACAATATATATCTTCATAATAAGTAGTTATGTATATTTCGGTCTTTGAAGAAAAAGAAAAAGAAGAAAAAAAGGAAGCACATAAGTTGATCATCATCTTCACCAATATGATCTTAGTTTGTTTATCTTTACAATGGGAAATTAAAAAAACAAATTAAATAATTCCATGAATAATTACCACGGGGTAAGGAGGGAGGGGAGGTGTATGTGTGCGTGTGTGTGTGTGTGTATGAAGGGGTATTGGACTGGAAATATACATACATAACCATGATAATAAATTATACATAGAAGATGTGGAATGAATTGTCATAGTTTTTTTTTTGCTTCATCGATAGATCTATTTTAGTTAATTTGATTTACAGAGAGTTTCTTCAAGAAAATTTAAAACTGTTGCTTCAACATGAGATTGATGCTTTAAACGATGTCGAGAATTTGGATAAAACTATAAAAGTAAAGGAGAAATAGCATCAGATGAAACAATAGATAAGTTGACACTAGAATAAATAACATTTACAGTGACATATTACAAAAGTACTGAATGACTAGTTTTCAGAAAATGTTTTAAAAGTTAATCAATATGATGATTCGTTTTTGATAACTCTAAATGATACCATAATTGTACCATAAGAAGATTAAAACACGAATTTCAACGAAGGGATCTCTTTTCAACGAATTTATTATCAAACTGTACAATCGTATATATATATGAAATTTTTTGTTTTTGTAAAAGTACTAATTCCGTGAGGAAATATCAACACAATTAACCATGCATCTACCAGTTCACTTGCTCTTGTACAGCAAGGTACATTGACCGTAGCCAGCGCTCGCTTTCAACTTGGATACGGGAGCATATAACAGCTTGGTTCTATAAGAGTGAAAGGAAAGCAGTTAGGAGTTCTATACTTGAACACCTAATCGACTGTAACGATTCTACAGATCAACAATTTGATTTTAAAGTTGTTTATATGATTCGTCCAAATCTACCCAGATTTCTTCGTATCCAACTCTTAAAAATAGCCGAAGCTCTTACAATCCAGGAGCTTAAACCAGAACTATGCGTACAAAAGAAGTACGTCTTATCGTTATCGTTACCTTGACCTTAATTATTTTGATTATCCTATTATTATCATTATTACTGCATTCTCCCCTTTACTTATGTCTTATATTCTCAATGTTTTATTCGTAAATGCTCACCATATCATCTTATTCATTTTTTACGTCTCTATGACCTTTAATTATTATAACAAAAACATTTTCATCATCTTATTATATTCATTAAATCTATTGTTATTATTCGTATCATGTAATCTAGTATTGTAATCTTTCTATCAAGTCATCTTGGCTATTCGTGTCCATATTTCCTGATGGAATTAGTACTTTAACAAATCGTTTTCATCAGTATAGAGATTGTGGAGATTGTTAAGTTTTGATTGAGATTATGAATCAATTGATGTTAGACCACCGTTGGAAACCTGGAAGCACTGGACGGCCGTTTCGTCCTAGTATGGGACTATTCAGCAGTGCGCATCCACGATCCCGCTCCCTGCGAGATTCGAAACCAGGACCTATCGGTCTCGCGCCAGGCGCTTAACCAACTAGACCACTGAGCCGGCATCCAGTGGTGTTAGTGTCTAACATTAACCAATCCACGAAATTGCGCGACCAACTTCCATTGTACTGAGGTAGATACCTGTCTCTACCCGACACGGATTAGCTCCACTGGTCACGGCTCAGTGGTCTAGTTGGTTAAGCGCCTGGCGCGAGACCGATAGGTCCTGGTTTCGAATCTCGCAGGGAGCGGGATCGTGGATGCGCACTGCTGAATAGTCCCATACTAGGACGAAACGGCCGTCCAGTGCTTCCAGGTTTCCAACGGTGGTCTAACATCAATTGATTCATGATCTCAATCAAATCGTTTTCATATATATACGATTGTACAGCTTGATACTAAATTCGTTGAAAAGAGATCCGTTCGCTGAACTTCGTGTTTTTTTTAATTTTTAATGTTCAAATGGGAATTATCTGTCAACATAAGAAGATTGTTGGTTTTGCTGAGAAATATGTCTCAATGATTGGTAAATAATACATATGATACCCAATCAAGTTAAACTGGCTGAAATAGTTGTTCAATTAGGTCCTGATATGACAGTTAGATCGGTTAGAGAAAAATAAGACTAAAAGTAGCTAATAGTACTTAGACTGTGACGAAAATGAGATGCTTTCCTCAAACAATGAGCATTTTTAATGATTTGGCCTATCTATAACAGCAGGAAGTGGTTAGAAAATATTCATCCTACAAACAGCACTCACAGTTTTTCGTCTACAGTACTAAAGATTTAAAATTACAGAATTAAAAGATCAAGAACTACTCACAAAAACGCTGTGTATGAATGATCTCAAGTAGTTTTCCTTTGGGTTTTCCAGTCATCCATTTCAGGTTTACAAGCCTACTAATAACCCAATCACTTTTCGAAAATGCTTTAACAAGGGGAGAGGGTATCCTACCACGTTATGGGCGACCGGGAACTGGCAAATGTCCATATAATTTAACAGTACTGAAGATCACCCAACATACCTATGATCATGACACACATGAAAGTAGACGGATGATGTTCTCATAACATTACATTCAGTTAAATTATGAACAGCTGTTTAAACTGAAATCTAGTTCCTCAACTAGAAAACATATAATGTAGAAATTTTCAAAAATACAGTTTAAGGAATTAACTAAACTTAGGGAGTCAATTATGCAGATGATGGTTCCAGGTAATCGACAAGAAACCCTACCCGACCTAATTTTCGTGCAATCACACACTCGTCAAAAAGGTGTCCTAATCATCTTTAGAGAACTGATGCTCATTTACAGATTCATCATCGTGTGACCTGGTTTCACAATCGGAGATGTTACCACCAAACTATTCCAGCCATTAAATAAGAGAGATTAGTTCAGTGAATTCATTTTCAAAGCTGTACAATCGCAAGTATATATACTTATTTTTACAGGGTGAGAATACTGATAATAAACTTCTGTTATACATGGTGCCAGTGAGGTTACATAAACAAAGGTATTAGAAAAATTTTTTAAAACAAGGAAAGTTTAATAATCGTTTGATTGTTATTGGCTTAAGTATTCATCAAAAGATAGATTGGGAAATTATCATTGGGAAAGGATGGCTCAGCATAATAAAATAAAATGTTGAAACAGAGATGAAATGTAATTGAAATGATCGTGGAAATAAAAGGAAAACCAGTTGGGGGTAGAAGATTTAAAGGAAGATGAAAGGTGAAGCAGATGGCTGTAAAGGAACAAGAGTATGAAAAAGAGAGAAAATTTTAATACATTAAGACCATCGTAGAAGAAAAGGTTGTAACAGTCTCTTTTGCACACACAATTCTGGTTTTTCCAGATGTATGGCTATTGCTTCGACAATGCAGAGAAGATGCAGTCTGATTGTCTTAGGAAGGCTTCTACTTACCTTGTAGACGACTTTGAACGCAGAGTCTGTTTTGATTGAATGACCTGTGTTCACAAGATTTTCGATTATTGACACCATTTCACGTTCAAGGATAGAATTAGACTTAACAGGATAATTTTTGGGATATTTTTCTGAATATCCCAACACTATGTGCACCATTGGTTTGGAATCAAGGTTTTCCAACTCCTCTAGGTGAATCCTCCGTATCCACCAATCCGGTTGAAGCGCCGGACATTTCCTTTTCGTCCTCCCCCTTCGCGAGCAGGAAGTCAGTGGAACTTCCCTAACAGTGGCTGTATACGCGTAGTCATGCGAGAGTATTTCGAGAGGGTGAGCTGACTCTCCCCACCTTCAACCGTAGCAGGGCAAAGTGCTCCTTACAAAAAAGGATTTCGTCAAACAAAACCTTCAAAGATCCGACATTTTTATAAACATTTGGTGTAAAAAATCTAAATAAGACCGGTTACATGCTGATGTCACTGGCTGCACAAATATTGTTAAATCAGGGAATAAACAATTGATTATGGAAACCATTTACATTATTCAATAATCAATGGACAAATATGTCATCTTTACATGAGATTCATGTCAACAATACAAACATCTACAGATTGATCAACAGGATAGAGTGACACAGACAAACTAATAAAATCGTCTAAGACGATAACAACATCAATTGAATTATTTAATCTTTATAATATATGAATTTACCTGAAAATGATGTGGTTTACCACATGCATCTAATTTTTCAATTAATGATGATGTATGCGAAAAATGTACATTCTCATCTTGACCACCATGGAATATAAATAAATGATATTTATTTGATGGCATATTTGAAACATAATTCATTACGTTACCTTTACTATTGAGGAAAAGAAAACGAACAAACAAACAAACGATGAGTTGTAGAATTACAACACAAGAATAAGTCTAATCCTAATGTAATAAGTTCATAAGCGAGTACACGTATAATTTGAACTAAAATGCATATATCCAACAACACTAAAAAAACTGGATAAAATGTTCACTAGCAACGTCATATTAACAGTGTTTGAACAACTACAGTCTACAGATTGTATGTCTTCGCATTCTGATATCATGTGCTGCCTGGTTTTCAACGGCGCTCCTAAATGCAATTCAATCAGAGACAGATAACAACCTATACATCAAGTTAATCTCCATAGAACCATTTAAACTAAATACGAGATTCTATTAACTGTTATAAAAGTAAACCTACCAATAAGCATCTGGATTATCCTTAGGTAGACCAATATATCGTTCTGTGTATGCGGTATCATATAACGTCCAATCAACCACCGGAGAAATAGCTATTGCAGCTTTATATACATCGTGATATAGCATTGCAGCCATCAATGACATATAACCACCTAAAGATGAAAAACAAAAGGAGTTTCATCATCATAATCATTATCAGAACCGTAATACAACATTTTTTGTATTCGAAAAAAAATGATTACATTTGCAATAAACAAATTTAATTGAATAGTTGATATAGAATGGATGGAATGTGGCTAGCAGTGGAATCCAGGACGCGCATTTCATTCAACTTGGGAGTCGTCAGATGGATAGCGCTACTGAAACGCGGTTCATGGATTAGACTGTTAGCCAAATTTCATGTATTCCTATAATAACTGATGTCATATCGAGATGATCCGCACAAGATGCCCAAATATGCCAACAACGAGATAATCTAAACCATTTCTAATTGAATTAATTGAATAGTACTATCAGGCAATGGATTTTATGTAAATTATTCTCTGTACCGTCTAACTCTTTAATATTTCTTCTTTGATGTTCGCTACTTGAGATTCTTTCTTTTGAAGAGAAATGTTCAGTGATGATCTAAAACAAAACATTAATAAGTCACTTGACACATTAATAATTTATTCAATAACTATAGCACTGTGAGTTCTACACTGCCGATGATAAACGTATTGTGCAAATGGTATATCTGATAATCAATCGCTTAATCCGATTTCCTAGCCGCCTGCTCATAAACCCAGGCTAAATCTACACGGTAACTTGAACACACAAAAAAAGAAGTCTGAACAGATTGCTTGGTTCCAAAGTTAATTTAATTACAGACAAAAAGTATCTATAAAGTTACACACGACCTTGAGTTCTAAACATTTCTGCAACAACACTAGATATAGTAACAACGTTGGCGACTGTTCAACCAAGACCGCAGCAGATGATTCTGCATTTTCTAGATGCCTCTGCGAAGATCCTTAAATATAGGATGAACAATTTCATATGACATTTACAAAGTATTACTGAACTAGTAGTAGTGAGTCACAGAATGAATGTTAACCGTATGAATTCATTTAAGTGTGACTAAATTCTATAACCCGGTATAAGATTTCTTATCGATTTGCAGTTATTCTCTTATCAAATCAACATTTCTAAGCAAGTGTAGTCCATAAGGTTAGTATATGGTAAGAATTGCGATCTACGACACACATTTCACCGTATTTGGGACTCGTTGGCTGAATATACAGCTATATCAGTGTTGATGTTTGAATTAAGATTCGAACCCAATAGTTTTCGGCTCGAACACTCAACGCATTATCGATTGAGCCACTATCGGGTTTAGAACTAAAAGAAATTGCAATACAACACTATATCGAAACAATCCACTGAATATATAAATATTGACAGCAGAGACTGAACAAATTGCACTCCAAAATGATTTAATATTTATTTAAATGAATAAAGATTGGTACAATATATGTGCGCTAGACTACATCATTCGATATGTGTACGTGCTGAAATACTGCACGAGTGCCCGAACCAAAGCAGGTGGTTTTCATAAGGGGACACTCCTTGAACCTCTGACCCAAAGGTCTAATCCACAAATCAGTGAAGCGAAGTCAGAAGATTGGGTGCCATAATAGCCAGTTCGTACGCCATTTGTTCCCGCAAGATTATAAACCTAATGCGCACAATTGGTGTGGAATTAAGGTTTCTCAACTCTCATTGGTGGATCCTTCCTACCTATCAACTGAGTTCAAGTGCCTGATATTTACTTTTCCTCCTCTCAATTTCGTAATCAACACTCTGATTAGATAAGGCAGTAGGACCTCACTGACAGTTGCTACATACGCGTCGCCATATGTGAGCGTTTCAACAGATAGAGCAGACTCTCCCCACTCTCGGTCTAATCGGGGCATTTAGGGGCTCTGAATACCAAACAATGGGGAATCGTAAACTAATACTAACAATAAAATACTTACATATTGACATATGGTCAAATAGGAAAGTTGTTGACTCATAAAGGTTATATATATATAAACACGATAGCCTGCTTACCAAAGGAATAGCCCATAATAGCAACACGTGAAAGATCAATAAGTCCAGTGGTTTTTGCAGCATACTTTAAAAAGGCCACATGATCATCAAGTTCCACCTGACCCTGAATTTATTTTTAAGAAAATAGAATACGATATTTCAATGATGAAAGGAGAGAACAGGAAAGATGTTAACCCTCGCAGATTGAAGGGATTTATAACTAACACTTACCTTTATGAGCGATTTTAGGTGGTTGAAGAGTAATTTGAAAAAGAATACCAGGAGTAGACAATATCAAAGTGTGATATCAATAAATGACATTAATGACTGCTAGTCTGAGCTATGTTGGTAGGGATCTGAACTGGTTGTCTGAGATCCTTGCAGTAACTCTAGTCAATGATTTTAGATGCCCAGTGACAAAGCTGTAAATTGATCAAGATGGTACACAGACACATTTGCTATTCATTTTATTCTAGATCTTCAGTTACTTTCATATGTAACTTTTGAATTCGTTTTCTTGAACTATCTCCTCAACGTTTTGTCCTTTTTATTACCATTATTAAAACTATTATTATTTTAAACCAGTTACTAATCGCCATGTTAATTTCATCGTGTTGTACTAATGTGGTATGAGAACTTGAACTAACGTATATATATATATATATATATATATATATATATATATATATATATGCCAGTCACCAAGTCGTTTTACGACTGACTGATAGAATGAAGGTTGTATTGTGGTGGTCGGTATTCGATATAATCCTTAAACTTCGTATACAGCTCGTCTTCATAACCGTTCTATATAACGTCCCAACGGTTTATTAATCAGAAGGCAAATACGACGTGTTGATTACGTTTATTACGAGACCACACACATATCCAAATGTACAGATGCGTTAAACAAGCATAGAAGAGTTGTGCCGAAAGGTAAGCAAGCGAGCGAGAGCCATAGCAAGAGCGAGACGAGAGTGTGTGAGTGAGTGCGTGTGTTGAATGTGAATAACATGGACATATATATAGCATGTGAAATGAATGAGTAATCGAATCAAATAAGCAGTCAGTAGTAAGACTAGCAGAGTGAATAAATGTGTAGGCCGTAAGCAATATTCAAGCATACGTATTTCATACAAGCACAAAATAATAAGGATGCAATAAACTGTTATAGTGCGGATGACTTTGTCCGTTAAATGAGTTAGCAAAAGAGCTTAACTGAGTTAAATGCGAATAAACTCAATTGCACGTGAGTCACTATAGTATCAAAAGATCAATCTTATTTTCGCCATTGTGTAAAATTACATTTCGAAAGGAAAACAATTCAACGAGTTCACATTATATTCAAACGTATTATAAACAGCGTTTCCTGTCGATGTTAAGACACTTAGACTAATGAACACATATTACTTAATTAACAGAATTTGAGATTTAGATAAATGTAACATTGGTCACTACTATTCAATGATCAGTTTATTGTAAATATTTATAAATGATTTTCAGTTTAGATGTATCTAAAAAGGAAAATAGACTAACAGAAGTTTTGGTGACCTGAAAGAATGATCAAAGACTATAAGGGACAACAAGTTAAGGTTAGTTATAGATATACAAGTTGTTTTGTGAATAACTTTTGATATGTTAGCTCTTAATTTTAAAGGCTTTACAACTGATGATGTAAAACCGTAAAATATGATGAGGTGAAATATTTTTAGGAATAACCATTTGTAACACCTTCCTTCCTCTGTAAGTATTGAGATAATGATTATCTGAAAACAAAATCCTTACTATTCTCACAATCTTTTACAGTCAGCAATACGACTTGGATCTTACATCTTGAATTTGCGGTTTTTATTCGTAAATCTAATCAGCATGTCATGGTAGGACTTAAAGGAACCGATTGGATCATCACAATACACAAACTAGACTAACATATCAAGATAACAGCTATCAACAGATTAAAATGATTGTATTTTCTATAAAATGTACTTATAATAAAAATCAAATAATATTGGATCAACTTGATAAATGTGTATAGTCATTAATTGAGGTTAATATTTTCCAAGTCTATATGAAGAGAGAGTAAATCAGATGATGTAATAACTGAAGCTAAAGTATATGTTACAATACACAACATCAATTTGCAGTTAACACAAAAAGTAACAACTGAAAATACACATAAACTTGATTTTGATGGAGTTTTGTTCTTTGAGCTGGATAGTTTGGTCGTGGAACTTTCATCGTTCCTCTGAACGACATCATCAGCACAAACTTCAGATAGAAGTGAAGTGTTCGAATTTCTCCATATGTGTTTCACAGCGTGTTCTGTACACCTCGACGTTGATTGGTCCTTATTGACCTTAAATTTGTCATTGTTTAATTCTTTGTATTGGTTTGTATCTCCCACTGGTTTGATTTTTGTTTCTATGTTTGTGCATAATTTTCCCGACTGCTTGATAAATTGGATCGATTTCAATGTGCTTGTTGATTGCTGACTGACCTGAGTGCCAGGCTTCTAAAAATTCTCTGGTGTTTTTGGAATTTCCTCTGTCCAAGATTTCCACATTTTTCCAATCGAATGGCGTTTGACTGCTAATTGATGTTTATGTAGGCGAAGGTGAAGGGGGCGTCCGCTTTGTCCGATGTGGTGCTTTTCGCAGTTGGCACAAATATAGGAACAAAAATCAAACCAATAGGGGACACAACCAAAACAAAGAAGTAAACAATGACAAATTTAAGGTCAATAAGAACCAATCAACATCGAGGTGCACAGAACAAGCTGTGAAACACATATGGAGAAATTCGAACACTTCACTTCTATCTGAAGTTTGTGCTGATGATGTCGTTCAGAAGAACGATGAAAGCTCCACGACCAAACCATCCACCTGAGCTACGAATCGTCTTCACCATCTCACACATAAACTTGATTTAACATTTAGATTATGAAGAAGTTCAAGAACACACATTAAAATAACTGAAATCAATGTTTCAATGGGACAAATCAATTTTAAATATTTATTTATTATTTCCTATCTATGCATTTTCTGTATTATGTAAATTGTTCATTTCGGAATTTTATATCATGTTCACAAAATGACTTAACTGCAAATAATATAAACCGTCGTAAAACCAATTCAGTCTCCTAAAGATTAAGCGCTTGTTGTGAGGACTAAAAGTCCCAAGTTGTGGTTATACATTATTGAAGAGTTCAATATTACAACAAAACAGTCATCTAATACTTCCTAATTTTTTAATAGCTATTTAACTAGAATAACTCCATGATGTGAAATTATTAACATTACTATTAAGAAAATGTCCACCTATATAGTAGGATTAAATGAGGGTTATAAACCTGTGTGAGGAATTAAGATTATGATTTACAGTTGATGGTTAGCATTAGGAAGGATTTGAATGTGACCAATTTGGTCTCTTGTGTTGTTACGGGTGTGATGGCTGATTTCACTTCCCGGCTGCCCACACCGTGGAAGGGTATTTCTTGAGGAACCTGAAAAGGAAGTTGGATTAGTGTTGGTCTTAACGACATGGGATGTGACTGCAGAACGCAAGGGACAACTGCGTTGAGGAATCCTATACTAGAACGAAACAGCCATCCAGTGCTTCCAAGTTCCAAAGGTGGTCTAGCTTAAATAAACTTACGAGTTCAACTATCAAAATATAATTTTAATTATTTGTCGACTTACTAATCGATTTTTAATATGACCATCAAAATTGATACCACGATTAGAGGAGCCACGACAATCACATAGAAAAACAGCATAACCAAAATGACAAAATAATTGAGCATGAGCAAATCTATTTCAAGTGATCAATAGAAAGTAAACAAATATCAGTTACAATCACTAAATAAATGATCGATCATTATCAAATATTTCTTTTCAACAGAAAAAAACAACACATAAATCGAGAAATAAGATCGATAATATGAGCTACACAGTAAAAAGGGTACTTTTCCATTTCACATAGATTCTCTTAAAAGTAGAAATATTGGATATCCGGTAGGTTGGCAACCATACTTGGGTTCTACTGATTATGTATTAGCCTAAACGACTTTGCTTCATTTCTATTGATTATTTGAATCTTTCCATTAATGTTTAACATTGTGATTGATCAGTCTCGTTCTTCGTAACGAACAAAAACGAGTGTCAGTTAATAGGTATCTCAAAACAAAACTGGACTAGCAGTGGTTTAGGTGAACTAACAGTCAATGGGTATATGGACTCAGTAGCTGAGTGGACGAAGCAATGGCATTTGAAGTGAATGCTATTGGGTTCGAATCTCAGAGTGAACATCAACTCTGAGATGCAGGTACATACAAATAAAACGAAACGCGCATCCTGGATTCCACTACTGGTCAATACCCATCTTTGCTTATATGTCAACCACCATTATAATTCCGAAGAGATCGTGTTGAGATGAACGAATTAACATTTAAATCTTTGCGTAATTAAATACTGAGTAATATTTGATGCCACTATTCTCAAACGTCGGCTTCAGTGACTTGGATATATTTTCGAAATGTCACCCCAGATACTTTTACAGCATAAGTCTATTGAACTACCGAATAAAATACATAAATACCAATTCATATATACAACATTTCTAAACCTCAGAAAATCAATCCATTCCTTAGCAAATGATATGCAGTTGTCCTTCAGGTTATTTCTGATCGTCATCAAGCGACCGTCTCACTTGGATACTTCCGATTGGGTCACTATATCAGAAGGTACCCTGCGAAGACAATGGAAAGTGGTTGTGCAATATCATGGGTTGACTGCAGTTAGATTTGTACATCATGAGATCCTGGCTCAATGGTATAGACAGTAAGCATTCGGCGTTGAAACTTAAAGTCCGAAGTTTGATTTCCGGTTGCGACGTTATGGATGAGCACTATTGGATAGTCCCATACTAAGGAGAAACAGTCGTTCCGTGTTTCCAGACATTCAATGGCTGTCTAACTTGGATCGATTCGTAGTCTAAATGAAATTCAACAATCTTGACAGCCCAATACTGACACTAAGCATTATTAACGGAAATTACGTAATCCCATGTACATTTAAGTACCCCTCTATTTTTTCACAATACTATCACTTCGTTTGAGTAGTCCATACTTCTGATGACTAGTTGTACTAGAATTTATGTATATTAAGTTTTCAATTAACCATTATATAAACGACTAAAAACCAAGACTTACACAGATCTTGAATAACTGCCACGAACAAGTTGAATACCTGGACCACCATAAACAAAATGCAAAGTTGGATAACCAACAACACTAACACCATCGACCGATGATACAGGTAACAGTCGACTATGATTACAATTTGGCACAAATAACTGTCCATATAATATTGATTGTGAATTGCTAAACTCAATATAATTTGATGAGTATGTAACACTAATACTACTACTTATATGATCATTTATACATTCATCATTATTATTATTTTGTAATGTGAGCATTCGATCTAAATTATTAAATATATCACATCGAAGAACTAACGGAGGATTAGTTGGATAGAATCCATTGAATGCATTATAATGCCATACTATTGAATTAGTTTATTTGTTGATACAAAAAAAGGAGAAAAAAATTCCAGGGTGAATTTATCATAAACATTACGAGATATGCAGAATATTAGATAAGTAAAACTGTGAATCTACACACAGAGTGTGACTCAAAACTGAATAGGAATTTGTACTTAGTAGGTGATTTACGTCATCTTCGGGAGAATTAAGCCTACGAATCAGATCCTAATTTAATGAACAGCAACTACAAAGCTGATATCCTTCAATAGTCTATGACTTCTAATCGTGTTATTTTACTGCTAAACATTTGTATATTAGCAAATTATTTTATGAGATACCAAATCTATTCTTCTATTTAGTGGTCACAACCTTTGATATCAGCTCATTCAGAAGCTCGAATTGACAATTCCATCTTGTGGGCAGTCATAACTCAGTTAGATCAATCGGTATTCTATGTCTATATGTTTCAACGAATTAAAACTCGTTCAACGCAATCCAATCTGAATTCATAGCAATGTCACATCAATTATGTCACTTTGTGGGTGATAATACCCAGGTGATCAAATTCTAGTCGTTCATAGCTCAAAAAGTGGCCCAATAACTAAAAAGAGTTTGAAAACGAACAACAAAACAATGAATACAACATTAACTATTTATAAAGTTCACACTACGTGCTACCATTTTTATCTATTTAATCTGTGAAACGTGTGTGGCATTAAATCAGATATCAGATTAAAATCATTGAATTTTTAAAAAAAACTTAAGGGTATATACAGTCAAATGTGTTTTTTAGATTACTGAGAACGTGATAAATTACCGCCTCATTAGAACTTATTATTCTTTACAGAAAAGATTAACCACTTAGCCTGAATGATTGTTAGAACAAAATGACTAAATACCCTGAAATCGTTGAAGATGCTACAATTGTAGCGGCCACCTAAAAGTTGTGATCGGGCTTACTCATCATCATTACTCTGTCAAACTGTATTGGCGGGAGCGCTTGTTCCTTCAGGTACTAACATGCTAGGTAGGTAGCTGAACAACGGGAAAACTGAAGGCAGCGAATGAAAAATCCGACAGTAAAGTCATGCTGCTGACTGTACAGTGGTGTGACAGCAGTAAAGTGTTTGTTTCAGGAAACCAGTATGTGCAGCGATGGTTCCTCCTCATACCGAACCAAGTAGTTGTCCCTTAGGCTCTGCCGTCAAGCGCCCAGGAACTCAAACTATTCCTAGTTTAGATTATTGTTCAGGGACTCCAAGGCGAAGTATTCTTCCAAGATCTGTGGTGCCACGTATCACGCATGCCCGACCACCGATTACCACGACGCACAATGCTGACTAGTTTTGGAGATGGTTGGAAGAAAGTCAGGGGTGGCCAAACCAAAACGAGGCATCAGTCCATAAAATCACGAACTTTTGGTCTGAGCCATGTTGGTAGATGCAGACTAATTGACTGGGGTCCGCGTGACTATCGTAACCAATAGTTGGAGACTCTGAGTGACATGGCTTAGAATCGATCACAATGACGTAAGTGTATACGCACATTGTCTTCCTCTAAACTGTGAGATTAAAACTGCTTTATATCTTTCTTTCTACAAACTAATTCCTTCTACCTGTATTACATCATTATATGCAATCTTTCTTTCATATTACCACCACTGAAGTAACCACTTTTATGAATATGGTGTTCATCTTGTTGTGTTAATGAGGTATGGCAACATGGACCGATGCATATATGTGCCTGGTCCTATGTTTTAGCTAACTGACTGACCTGCTCCACCTAGATTTCTCGTTATTTGTAAATAGTTGGAAGACAAGGATTTATAATTGACTGAGAATTGAGTAGCAACTTATGTAATCTTTAGCAAATCCTTTTACATGCTGACCAAGTTGCGATGTTGCCACTAGTCTGAGTGACGAGACATTGTGTGAGATACACGGAAATTTTGGTTGGTAGGAGGTGGTCGATAAGAAACCCTGGCTGATTTAGGTTTCATCCTAGATGCCGCTTGTAAACAAGTTGTACCTGTAATATTACAAGAAACGATACTTCCTGGCGAACTCGGTTTTTCGTCATCCAGTTTTCCGTCAAAGACACCCTTCGAGCCGCAAATAACCTCCTGCAGGACTGGGTTATACTTACAATTGACTGATTATTGAGTAGTGACCAATGTCTTGTTTATCAACTTCTTTTTAGTGCTGATGTATGCTAAATAACACAAAACCTAGATGAATGCAGAGTTCCCTGTTGACTATCTCCAACAATTTAATATCTCATCAGAGTGTAGGTAATTTCAAGTCACTTGGACTTGTGACCCCATTGCAACTTCATCAGTAGAGTTCCATCAGCATTAAAAACAACTTGATAAGTACGATATTGGTCGCTTATCATTCAGCAATTAATCAACTTTAAAGAATATATTCGGTTGTAACAGAGAAAAAACAAGCACCTGAATCTTAAAAACTTGTACAATCCGCCACCACACGATACAGTAATAATGTTACAAATCGTAGGATTCAAATACAAAGTGATTATAATCAGATTTCAGAGGAAAATACATGGAGGATAATAACGTTAAAGGTTGTTACTAAGTTTGAATCCTTGTACAATCAAAATTTCTTACCATGTTTACGAAGCCATGCTATATGTTGTAGAATTGGTTTACGATGTTTATTTACAGTAATACTGGTAGAATTATTTGTATTATTTTCATTATTCTCAATAATAACTTGACAAATTTGAATGCCAACAAGTTTATCTAAACTGCTTGATTCTAGGATCATAATACCAGATTGAATATTGAATGTATTCAATTCATAAGACAATGGATATGGTTTCATTAATAAACACGAATCATGAAACAATGGATCCAATGTACATTCAATATTAGAATTCATTGATAACGATGATGATGATGAATTGTGTGCATTTTGAATGGATTTCATAACATGAGTATCATTGTTGTCGATTGGAAGGTTTAACGTTAAACAATTTAATGGACCTCGATCACTTTGATTTCCATAACTTACGGAATATCTACATAAATTTAGGATAAGAAAGAAATTAAGGTAAAATAGAGAAAGATATGAAATTGGTTATACGTTTACCAAATACTTAGGCGTTTATGCATACAATAGACAGATTGTGGCCAATAGAAGAAGCAACGATCCATGCTACATCCCTATTTCGGACTTGGCAGAGGGACATGTAGTGAACGAGAATACAGGTGGTGGCAACCGATTGCAGATGAACACGAACTTACAGAATGTCTTGGTAAAATATGAGAATACATTGAATTATTCATTCATGGATTCATTCGCGGATTGGTTGAGGTTAAATGTTAACACTGTTGGATGACGGCTCAGTGGTCTAGAGGTTAAGCATTCGCGGGAGAGACTGAAGGCCCTAGGTTCGAGTCGCGCAAGTAAGATCATGGATGCGCACTGCTGAGGAGTCCCATACTAAGACGAAACGGCAATCGAGTGCTTCCAGGTTTTTAGTGGTGGCCTAACATCAATCGGTTCACAATCTCAATCAAAAAGAATAATTCATTTGCAAATTTCCATCATTTGCCCCTCATATTCTGTATGATTCTTCCAGTTCACAATTCCTTTATATTTTCGCTTCCATTCTCTACAACTCGATCTTCTTAGCTTTCTGCTGCCAGGTTTTCCACCTCCGATTGATGTTACATACTACTTATGTCGATAGATATGAGTAGCATACACCACAGACAAACCTACAATCCCAGAATTGATGTTCACTAAGGGACTTGAACCCATTATCTTTCGCCTCAGAGTTATCAAATAAAGGAATAATTCAAACATTTATTCATAATATCTAAATATTCAATTTTTCAGCATCGAACATTGACAATTATTATTATAACAATTAATAAGCAGAATACTTGAACAAAAACTTACATGTGTTTTAAAAGAGGATGTTCCCTAAATCCTTCAAAATAAATAAATTTATTATCTTCGTCCAGCCAAATCTATGAGGAAAAAGTGGTAGGTTTAGGAATAGAAACTTCACAAATAAAACATGTATATACGTGAATGTTTATTTATTCTGTTGAGATTACGAACCGATAAACATTAAATCACCATTGAAAACTTGGAAGCATAGGACGGCCATCTTATCACAATATGAGATTTTTCACGGGTGCGATTCCGTCACCCCTCACGCAAGACTCAAACACAGGACCTTCGGTTTCGTGCACGAACATTTAACCTCTAAATTACTGAGCCAACATTCAACGGTGTTAATCCCTAACTTCAACCAATCCACGATATTGCACAACCATCTTCAATTGCTTTAAAAGGGTAACTGCCTCACACCGAAGGTCCTGGTATCGAGCCCTGTATTTGGAATCATGGATACGCACCGCTGAGAAGTCCCGTGCTAAAACGAAATGGACTCCTAGTGTTTTCAAGTTTCAATAACGGCCTAACTTAGATCAGTTCATGATTTCAATGGAATTCAATGATCTTCACAACCCTATACTGACGTTTACTTATTTGTACCCAGAATGCAAATAGATGTAATACAGTGAACCAAAACTAGCACTGGAATTTATGACTGGTATATCATTTTATTTGGAGCTCATCAGTTTGATGTCCTTTTATTCCAGTTTGTTACTTGTAATGAGACTCGAACGCAATATTTTTACTTCAAACACCAACGCACTGTCTACTGTATTGCCGAATCCAGACAGCCACTAATTTATTCAAGGGGTCTGATGTTCATAACATTATTGGTAAGAGTTTGAAATCATTCCAATGTTGGTACATAGGGCAGAATTTTGATCAGTCCTTGTTGGTACATGTGTGGATCCCATGCGGATTCTATCGGTACACATAATTTTTCACATTCTCTTTCAAACAAATGAACTGTGATTTGAAGTGGAATCCTGGACAAGGGTTTTGTCCAATGTGTTCAAAAAAGCTGGTTATGCTGAAGCAATTCGAACAAGATGTATATCTTTCCCAACAAAGATTAATCAAAATTCAATCTTGCATATCAATAACCGGATAATTCGAACCCTTACTAGGAATGATATAAAGATTTAATAAATTTCATCATGGAACTGTAAATGAAGTTTGATAAACATTGAGAAATCGGAACACAAACGAATAGACGTTTCTCGTACACGTTTGAAATTTCTAGATAATCAACAATTCTTGACAAGGAATAAAAAAGCACCCCAAGGCTTTTAGATAATATAATCAACCAGAGAATAATATAGAATCTGTCAAACAGTTAATAATTCCATGAATTGATAACCCTGATACAATAATCCATTTTCATTCTCTAAGCATTCACTTTTTAGCTTTACCTCGATCTTGAAGTTCAGTATTCTTTTCAATACATATCTTTCCAATCTTTTGACTCAAACTATGTTTGCAAAGACTGGCCAATCTTTTTATCATTCCTAATACATTATTTTGACCTCTTTTATGCTTATTTACATCACATAGTGGTAGCCGGGTATAGTAACTAGGACCAACCACATCTTTTCCAAGCTCTATAATGATGATGTCAATCTGTTTAGCTAAAATATCATGGCTTGATTATTCTTGACTAAAGAAAAGTTGGAATTACTACTATTTGACTACAATAGATATCCGCAATTATAAAGAAATAACGAAAGCATTATTTTGTACAATTTCTCATTAATCTTAACAAAATATTTAAATATTTCGATCTTCACTCGATCTTCATCATTGTGTTTCCTAGTATAGATCGTATTAGTGTAGTTGTGATCAAGAAAATGATCAGAAAACGTGAGTTGAATTGGAGTACCGAAGAATAATGATAAAAAGCTATTCAACTAACAAGTTATTAACTAAATACCAACTGAAATTCATTCAATTCTCAAGTGTTAAAAATAAGTAAGAAAACGTACTATTGATTGATTACTGAGTAAACAGCATGTTTATCGAGTCCGTTTTAGCGTCGATCGAGCTCTATCGATTATGTCACAATATGGTCACTAGTTTTGTAGTGATGCACAGTGTCTGAGAGTTTCTATAAACAATCTCGAGCGGAAAGTTGGAGGGTGAAGAAGAAAGTTCACTTGGTTAAACTGAATTATATGTTTGCATACTCATATTAAGCCTATCATTGGTTTATGTCTCATTTCCTGGAAAAAGAACGTCATTTCTTGGCCAATGACGCCCACTTATCCTTTGGAAATTTTTGACTGGCCTATTGTATCTACCTTTCCCTCCTGAAAAAAATAGGTCTGCTTTTCGAATCTAACTAAATGATTCAACATTATGTGTACTATGTTGAAATGGTAAATGATTGTAGATAGTTCGGCTTAACTTAGTTATCGTGCTAGTTAGCAAATGTAAGCCATATGTAACTATCTGAAATCAAAAGTTAAAATATAAAGCAAATTTCATAAATGAAAGTAATTAATTTACAAAACATTTTATAGAGAATTTAGAAATACCTGATTGCCAGTAACCTCCCAATCACCATCGGTTAACTGATCAACAAAAACTTGTTTAGCTTGGATAAGGGTTGCAGTTTGTTCATGTGTAAAAGTATTACCATTATTGTTATTATTAATTGAAGTTTTAGGCCATGAACATTGTATAAGATATAAATGTGTAAAACCAGATCTATGTGAAGCCCAAATAAATGTACAAGAATTTTCATTTATAAAATCTGATGATTTGTTCATTCCACTTGTTGAATGCCATGGATATTTCAGAAAGGTTAAAACGTCATGAACCTAGAACAGTAATTTTGCAAAAATATTTTAAAAAGTGGAATAACACTTGTTAACATAGTCAATTAACACAATTTGAAGAAAAAAACATTTTTTTAACAAGTATTAATTATGGATGGTAGTTGTAACTGTTTAGTTGTCTGTAAAGTGGAAGGATTTTTTCCTCTTGCAAGAACTGGAAAAGAAAATAGATGGGTGGTGGTATAAGTGACCTGAGAACGTGACGACTGTAGATTATGAGACAACTGCTTAGACCCGGTCACAGTCTTTTTGTACTAAGTTTTAAATGTGTTAGATTCATATTTTTAAAGGTTTTATCGCCGGAGATCTGTAGAGTAAAGAGAGGTGTATTCTTCTTAGAGCCGACCTTTTATAAGCCCTTGGCTCCGTTTTGAGAAGACACCATTGCTGTAGATGCTAGTTGTTTGAGGTAACAACCTTACTACTGTCGCACTCCTGGACGGACGGCAGCACAACTTTTCTACTCCCAGTTTTTCCATCCTCAAGCTAATCTACCAAGCATGGTAGTGTAGTGAGGACTATCGAATGTATTTGAACACAAAATTACACCACATCTTAGTAAAATTTGAGAACCGTACAGTAAATACTTAATTTGCAAAATATCAATCAACTGACTGTTACTTCTGCAAATACCAGTCAATCATATCCGATTTCATTGTTCCTGCAATTCCATACCAATTTCCTTCTGTTCCCGTTCTTTCCTTCTCGACCTTCTGCTGCCAGACATTCTAATCTTGACTTTCGTTCCATACTACTCATGCCGATATAAGTAGCACTCACCACAGCAGTACCTAGAGGGACAAGCGTTACGTCAATACAGTTTGATAGGGTAATCACGATGATCAAACCCAACCACCCCTTGGTGAATCCACCGTTCCCACCAACCCGGATTAAGTGCCAAATATTCACTTCTCCTCCTCTTAATTTCGTAAACAACACCTTGATTTGAGAAGGCAGTAGGAGTTCTCTGTCAGCGGTTATATGGGCGTAATCATATGAGAGCATTTAGGGAGGGAGAGTAAACTGTTCTTTCACCCCCTCGGTCTTACCAGGGCATTTTGGGGTTAGGTTTAGTGAATATCTTGCTAACGAGTGAAAACTAGCACGAAAGTTAAGTCTAACATTTCTTACCAACTTCATACAATTACCTAACGTAAACATACTGATGTAGACTAACCATCGAACGACAGTTTCCTACCCCACTTCATTTAGTTTGGTTTCAACAGTTAAGCAGTTATTAACACTGGTGCTCATATAATGTGTGCTTTAAAGTCGAGTACCAGTACTTCTCTGTGATCATTGAGTATTGGATTGAAAGAGGACATGGCTGTTATGGGGCAGGACAGAATATACTACATAAAAATGATTCATCAACTAATCGACAACTACCTTTAGAAAAGAAAATAATTACCACGTTATAAATCAGATGATTGAAACTATAACATACACTACTACATTGGTGATAATATGACGTTTAGAAACACATACAAAATCAATCATACCTTCGATAATTTAAAGAAAAAAAACTCACCAATACAAATATTTTTCATTTTTCATGAAATTTCTGCCGGTGTTGTTATTGTTTAGGGATGAGATAGTAAGCATTATGATTACGAAACTATTTACCACAATAATTACAAACACTTTCCACTTCATATGAAACAATTAGCCTATAAACTGATAGAAAACCGTTTACGACAGTACAGGGGGCACCAGATACATATGGGCCGCATAAAACATTAGATTTATGTAAGGGCTGGGATACTGTTCGGGTGTCTAAACCGAAATAGATGGTTTTCTTAGGGGGCCACACCCGAAGCCTTTGATCGAAAGATCTGATCGACAAGGCAGTGAAGCAACGTCAGGAGATGCAGTCTCATGATAGCCGGTGACCAACGATCGGTTCATACGCCGTTTGTCTCGTCAGGATCATGGAGCCTATGTGAACCATTGGTTTGGAATCAAGGTTTTCCAACTCCTCTAGGTGGATCCTCCATGTCCACCGACCCGGCTAAAGCGCCGGACATTTGCTTTTCACCCTCTCAATTCTATAAACAACACCCCCGCCACGAGAAGACTTCCCTTCCAGAGGCTATATATGCGTAACCATGTGAGAGCATTTCGAGAGAGAGCAGACTCTCCCCACTCTCGGCCGTACCAGGGCATTTGGGGGTGTTTACGACAGTAAGGTGTTTGACACAGACAACCAGCATTTGTAGTGACACCACATTTCGACAACGACAGGAACGGGTTAGTAAAAGTCAACCGCATATGCAACACACCTTTCCCATAGCCTCACCAATTTCCATTGAGGAAAATAAGGCTTTTAAAGTACAGCGCTAGCACATCAAGAAATAAACACAATAAAGGGCATATGTGACAGACTGATCACAGATAATTGACGATTGGACTCTGCAGATACGCTTCCAGGTGATCAGTATCATCTCACCCACAATCTAAATTAAACTTCATCAAATGTTAATTGCACAAAAAAACAAGTATGGTTTACAGTCGAATGAAACGCAAATTTGTACTTTGATCAATCAATTCCATTAAATCAAACAAAGAATTAACTAACTGGCACTAATTAGCAATCCAATTCCCGATTCTTTTATGATTACTAAAATTTGTTACACGTAAAAATGTAAGAAATCTCTTTTAAGTAATTTTTTCTATCGAAAATACAACTCTATATACCTTAACCCAAAATTTTGACTCTACTTCAGTCACTAATTCTATACATGGTGAAGTGAAGAATGAAGATGAATAGTCTGTTAATGTGGATGTTGCCGATGAAAATGACGACGATGATGATGATGATGATGGATCGGGATGATTAACAACATCAGAGATAGGTAAGAAATTATCAACTGGAATTAATATGAGTGAAAGACGTTGTTGCAGGCGAGTGATCAGTTGACACCAAACACTAGAAATGAAATACATAAAACAAAACAAATAATTTCTAAGAGATAAGAAAACAACAAGAACTTAATGAGTTCTTCTTTTCAAAAACAAACCGATTCTAATTAAAAGAACACTGTACAACTGATATTGTTTACATCATTCATATTACCTACAATCAAGACAATGAGTAATGTCCATTTCTGAGTATTTTTCTCTTTTTTAAAGCGTACTTTTGAGGGAGGTTACATTGAATTTGGCTCATGACTAACAGTAAAATATTCAATACAAGCATCACATCATCTTCTCTGAAATTTATCAGAAAGATTAACATTAGCAGATTCTAGTATTTTCATCTTGAGACATTTGATACAATGAAATCATTCATGTTACAAATGACTATCTGTCTCTACAGTTAATTTCATTTTATTGCATAAGATTATTTACCTCATTTTGTGAAGGTATATTGAAACAATAAACCATACACACTAACTAAATCCATGATATTTATCTATTTAGCTGTTTGAGCTATAGATGATTTAAATATTCAGAAGCTTTATATTGTCATTCTGGAAATCATTAGCGCCTATTTTATGTAGAGAAGTGAGCCCTTTAGTCACTTTACAAGTATTAAGTTATTTTGTCCTAATGGCTTTAATTATGGTTTTAAGTAGAGATGAAAAGTGTTAAGTGAAAGGAATCCAGGATGCATGTTTAGTCCAATTCGAGACTCATCATCTGCACATAGATACATCCCATGGTGAGTTGATTGACTCCAGGACTCGAACTAAGTATCAGTCGCTCCAAACATCACCTCGGACAACCAGATAGCATCATTAGACCTCATACTTAAAGTTTGACATATATTAAAGTATCCAGTGAACGAATTAATTCAATTAGTAATTTACTAACTACTTTCACTTAGAATGAGACATTTGAAAGAAGATTCTTTAAGTTTAGAAACCAACAAGGATAAAGAAAACGAAAGATTATTTCAAACGTTTGAAACACAATTTTTCTGTGCATCAGAATATATTCTTATTATTAACTCTCTATCCAATGCTCAGTTAATTTGAAACAATCAAGTCCAACCTTGGATTTGATACCTTATTTATTTATTTAAACACATAAACATTGGTACAAGTAGGCACCAAATGCATATGCGCCACAAGGCAGTGGAGCATCGCAAGGAGATGCAGTCCCATGGTAGCTGGTGGCCAACATTTGGTTCATACGCCATTTGTTCCTTCAGAATACTGGAGCCTATGTGCATCATTGGTTTGGAATCAGGGTTTTCCAACTATCCTAGGTGAATTGTCTGTATCTACTAAGCCGGTTAAAGAGCCGGACATTCGCTTTTCGTCCTCTCAAATTCGTAAACAACACCCCCACCAAAAAAAGGCAGTGAGTAAGACTTCCCTGGCAGTGGTTGATACCTACAAAGATTACTTCCTTATGAACATATTTTTTTAATTGAGTAGTGAATAAATGAAAACTATTGATATGATATCAATAAATTGTAAGGATTAATATAGATCACCATATATAAAATTGTCTACCTTAAAAAGTTCAGGCTTAGTTGAAACAGAGCCCACCTCCCTACAAGCTTTTAACTGAAATATCTCATTTGTGTACATCACCAGAATACCTTTCAAAATTAGGCTACCACTGTAGTTAAAACCTATGGAATATCCAAACTTCTGTGATCAAAAATTAATTACACCAACCTGATTAGAACACTAGACAACTCCTTTACCTCTCTCTCTCTTTCTCTACTGTGGTCAACATATCCTTTACGACAAGGTAGTTCGGTAGAATTTCCCCACTAAAGGAGAGGAATATAAGGTCGTACATTAGGGATAGACACCTTAGTCAGACAACCATTGAAAATCAGAAAGCATTCAAAAGCTATTTCATTTTAGTATAGGACCCATAGGTAATATGATGATATGATGAATTTATTAGTTAGGAGTTTAAATCATTCGATGTTGACTCAGTGATATAAAAAAGTACGCGCCTGACTTGAATTTCTTGATATCGATACGTAGTAAGTAGTAACAAACGTCTATCCATGATATAAACTATCAAGAACAATAATCACTGAGGAATTTCAACTAAAACTTCTCCGCTTAACTTTATTAGAAAAAAAAACTTACTTACTTACGCCTGTTACTCCCAATGGAGCATAGGCCGCTGACCAGCATTCTCCAACCCACTCCGTCCTGGGCCTTCTTTTCTAGTTCCATCCAATTCTTGTTCATTTTTTTCATGTCTATCTCCGTTTCCCGGAGTAATGTGTTCTTTGATCTTCCTCTTTTCCTTTGGCCTTCAGGATTCCATATGGGGGCTTGCCTTGTGACGCAGCTTGGTGCTTTGTTCGATGTGTGTCCTATCCACTTCCTGATTTCTTCCTCCACTGGGATCTGGTTTGTTCTCTCCCACAGTAGGTTGTTGCTAACGGTGTCTGGCCAAAGGATCCGAAGTATTTTGTGTAGACAACTGTTAATAAACACCTGAATCTTATGCATCATGGGTTTAGCAGTTCTCCAGGTTTCCGCCACATACAGCAGAACTGTCTTGGCATTTGTATTGAAAATTATGACCTTGTTGTTGGTTGACAGTTGTTTTGAGTTGCAGATGTTCTTCAATTGTAAATATGCTGCTCTTGCTTTGCCGATCCGCGCCTTCACATCTGCATCAGATCCACCACGTTCATCAATGATGCTGCCCAAATATGTAAAGGTTTTTACATCTTCCAAATGTTCTCCGTCAAGCGTGATTGGATTGGTGCATGCTGTGTTGTATCGGAGAATCCTGCTTTTCCCTTTGTGTATATTGAGACCTACTGCTGCTGAGGCTGCTGCTACACTGGTCGTCTTCTCCTGCATTTGTTGTTGCGTTTGGGATAGAAGGGCCAGATCATCTGCGAAGTCTAGATCGTCCAACTGCATTCTAGATGTCCACTGTATCCCGTGCTTCCCTTCAGATGTTGACGTCTTCATGATCCAGTCAGTCACCAGGAGAAAGAGAAAGCGTGAGAGTAAGCAACCTTGCCTGACACCGGTCTTTACTTCGAACGAGTTTGTCAACTGTCCTCCATGCACAATTTTGCAGTTTAATCCATCATAGGAATTCTGTATGATATTGACTATCTTCTGAGGCACGCCGTAGTGATGAAGAGGCTTCCATAGTGTTGTTCTGTCTATCTACATAACTAAATGAATCCTCTTTATATAAATCTAATTGTTATCTAATAATACAGACAGGTTATTAAAATTACTTACTAATTCCCATCTGGTGTCCAACCAGCACGAACTAAATATTCAAAATTCGGTAAGTATTGTTTTAAAGGTGAACGTAGTGCAAGAGTTTGTACATTGGAGATCTGATAAAAGAAGGTAAAAATAGATAGGAACCCTTTTTTTACAGAAAACTTTGATTCATTTGTTGATAACGTTGAAAAAATAAACAAGAAACAATAAGGCTGATCGTTGAATTTCCTAAAGTTCTAGAAGTAGCGATCAATCGAATTCGAAAATGTATCCGATGTAAGACAAATATTATCCACCAATAGCATTGGAAGATGATTAAGCAACATTATAAGATCGATTAGTCTATTTTATGACTTTTCACAGGTTTGTAAGCAGTTTAAAGTAATAACAATAAGTAGCTAAAATGACTTTAAAAGTCTTTTCAACTACATTCGTTGGATATTTAATGTTTCGCCTAAGAATTCATATGTATTTGAGAAAGTAAGTATTAATTTATGACTGAGAAAAAGCTTCCATCATAATTTCTGAATATATTTCCCCGAATCCTCAAAATGAAGAAAATCGTCCACAAGTGTATGTTTAACAGAAGTGTAACATCTAGAGTTTCCGAACATTTTTCCGTCCATTTAGCGGGCACATACTGTATATAAAAGTATAAATTTCACTGAGGTCTTTCGTCTAACCATTTAAAGGAATATACACATGTCTACTGTAGCGTCTATCTCAATTGGCCAGATGAAAAATCAAATAAAGTGAAAGTTAGGGCTTGAAATAAAGTCCTCAGCGAAAATCATATTCTTTTATGCAGGATCCACTCAATAAATGAATGTAAAAACGCTAGATATTCCACATACATTGAACATTGGGAGGCCGGTAGGCTAACAAATTCACGAGAACGTGTCCTATTTTAATTTCGAGTTGACGCTTATCGTATCATCAGAAATGACAATGAAAGTCGTATAATTTAATCATCTAGATAAAAGGATGAAACATCCTCTGATCATCAAAAGCATTCACCCAAGCGATAAATCTTCATTTAGCCCTCTATATGATGATTAACTAAATAAAAAATAAACGATTGATGGATGAAACCAATCCATTTCAAAAGATAGGCTTTCTAATTATTGCAATTCAATGACAAGACAGTCTTCAGAGTATAAGTTTAATTAAATGAACGTTTAACAGATAATAATAATAATAATAACTAATTGACAAAAACTCATTCATCTATAGTTAGCTGAACAAAAAAACAGTCAGTCATACTCACTTTACCCATTGAATCCAGTTTAAACTGGCATATTTTCAAATTAATACTTGCATTTTCAGTGCCTGAGTAAGACAGAAAGAAATATAAGATTAAATAAACACACACAGCAAATGAATATTGGACAATCTATTTCTAAACAAATAGCATTATATAAAGATAACATTGACAATTTTTCAGCAATGTGCTCACTGGTGACTAGCTTCAAGATGTAACACTTCTGGAGTTATGGTGAGAATCTATGAAGTACAACAATATCAGGTGAGAGACAATTATTCACTGCAGACAATGGGTTAGGGTTGTACAGGATCGTGAGATGAATGAAGCCAGATATTAAAGTCATTTGATCCCGTCTCAGTAGTTTAGAGGTTGTGTTCGCGCGCATGACTGAAAGTTCAGGGTTCGACCACTGGATGCAGGGGTTGTAGATGTGCAGTGCTGAAGGGTCCCATACCGAGACGAAACAGGTGCTCAGTGATTCTACGCTTTGAATGGTGGTCTAACTAAGATTAGTTCGCAGCTTAAACTCTGAGAATATAAAATAAGTTCAAAATTGTTTCATACCTCTATTTATTGTCAATGAAAAATGAGGGAAATTGTAAACAAATTACAACCATTTTTTTCATAATGGTTTCATTATTGTAAACTTTGAAAATACAATATAAAATACAGTATAGAGAAGACATTGAAACAACCACAACAAATTTCCAGTTAGTTGCTAGCCCAACAGGCAATAGCTTTCGTGTAAATGGGTCATTTATGAAAAGGGAAACAATCATATATCAAAGTATAAACAGATTTTACATGATTAATAAAACTATTAATGTCTCCTACAGTGAGGTTACTCTGTCTGTATATTCAAAAAAAAAAAAACAACGACATATAAACTTGTCCTCGTGGACATAGATTCTGCACTTTTTTGAACCCTAATAAGGATGTAAACATATTTTTAGGATTCCTTTTATTGTTCCTAGTTAGGAATGGGTATTTTGTGGATAGAATTAAAGGTTTATGATTAGAGTTTTCCACTGCCAACTAACATCGGTTATCATGCGAAAGTGCTCTGTAACAATATAGATGAATGAATCTTCTCACTTCGTCCGTGAAATAGTGCCAATATGTTAAGGTTTGTTTCAGGATTAAGGGTTAAAAGTTAGGATTTAAGGATAATGTCGATTTACCTGTTATATACAATTGACAAGGATAAAATTGAACATTTAATACATCTAACAATGTCACTTTTACGTTATCGTTGCGAAAAATAATTTACTGTTATCATTTTAAATGTTATGAGCAGTAAACTAACGTATTTGTGTTGCCCGTTATACATGCTATTTGAATTTTACGCAAAAACCAAAAGAACTGCATCCTTGACTCTGATTAGTTCAACTCTAAAGTACACTTTAACCAAACTAACGTCTACAATCATAGCAATGTATTTTTTTTTGTTTTTTATGAACTGGACTGAATTCGAAATTAGAACTCCAGATTGTAGTCAGTCAGTGTTGTTTGAGGTATTGTGGGACGCTGCCACTTCACAGTTGTGCACACCAATGAAATACAACTCCTAAAAAGGGAACTGGGTTAGTAGAGGTCTTAGCAACCTGGGGAGGTGACTGCAGATCATATGGGACAACAACTTGCGTTCAGTCTTACACGAGCGTTTACTGAGCAGTTTTGACGTATTAACCCAGTGCTTTGAAGACATCACCACAGAAACACAAATCTGTGGAACAAAGTGAGCGGTGCTAATTTCATAAATGATCCTTTCTAACCCTCTCCTTTGTTGTGGAGTAATTGCTCAACTATCTCTCTGATCAACATCCAACCAACATAATTTTACGAAATAAGATATGGACAACTTTAAAATTGGCCATCTCAATAAAGGCGTCAGCTACTACTAATGATCAAGTTGATATTGGGGTTAGGAAACAAAGTCATTGTTGCCCTATCAAAGGGATTTTTATTTACCTGCAATTGGATAACGTTGATTTTCCCAACCACCACCAAATTCCCCATGAAACAATCTCGTCACAGCCACATTACGTTCATCCACTTCTTCATATAACAACTGATAATAATGATCTATAAAAGCACAAAATAACGACCAAACAAAATTCATACTAGACTAACCCTACAAATAATAAAATTCCTTTGTATAAACGTTTTAGCCATTGTATTCAAGTCGACTGAAAAACATGTTGGACGTTAGGCTAAAGTGATATAAAGCACAAATACATAGATCCGAATCCTATTTCATTTATACAGGTTAGGACAACCAACTATCAAGCAGTAAGTAGTAGTAGCTACGCTAGTTCTCACATAAAATAGTTTGACTTGAATCCCAGTAAGTAAACACATACATGATAAGTAGCTATTAGCAGGATATAGATTGGATTAAAGTATGTTCCTTTCAAGATTGTGTTTGGGCATGGAGACTGGCTATTTCTCAATCAATCAGCGCTATCCAGTATTTGGAGAAGACTCTATCTATCAATATACTAACGTTTTTCTTATTGTGATCCCTACTTTCATTCAACTTTGTTTATTTGGAATATAATTACATTTCTGTTTAACCGTGTTCTGATTTGGCGCCCTGTCGAGTGAAGTAATGGTCAAAGAATACAAAGCAATAAGAGTAGCTGGGCTGCAAGAATAAAATTCATAGCACTAGCTTGAACTAACTAAACAACACACTCCAATGTAATACCCAACGATTGATCAGATCCATGTAAAGAAATGAAATAATGGCTTTAATATTAATCGTATGAAAAAAATCTTCATATAAATGAGTAGCAAAGAAATGTTCTAACAGTGCAAATATAATATGGGAACAAGTCGATCAGAACACACAAGATAGATTCCAGTTCTCTACACGAGAAGTAAAAAAAACGAACGACTTTTATTTTACATGACATAAGAAGGGTAGTAAGAATAACTTTCTATGACGCTCGAAACGTTGGAACGTTTTGGGATTAAAATAACACTTCTATGAAAATAAGCCAAGCACTAACTGAAAATGGTAATTGGGTGACATATACAATTGTTTATTTACAAAGTAGTAAACAATACCATATTCGTTTAGCTCTTTAGCGCTGATCGAGTTCTATAGATTAAGTTACAAGAGAGCTCCCATTAGTCTAAGTGCTCCGATATTACGCGCGCACTATGTTGAGATGTTAGCTGATTGAAGGTCGTTGGCAAGACAAACAATATTCATCACTACTCAATGATCAATCCTAACATGTCATTTGCAAAACAAATTACTGGATAAAAACGTCTCAGATTGTGACACCAGATGACTGAGGTTAGATTCCCCAGAGAATTAGTTTCCAGAAGAGTACAAATACTCCTCGTTTGTGGAGACTGGGTAGGATCCAGATTTTAAGATAGTGAAGATCCGTGGTTCAGGTAGATAGTTTAGGTGGAGTTTTGTTCTCTGAGCTGGATGCTTTGATCGTGGAGCTTCCATTGTTCTTCCGAACAACATCATCAGCACAAACGTCAAGTAGAAGAATCCAGACTACCTCCAACCACTTAAAATAAAAGTTGTTTTTATTTTCAAAGAGAAATTCCAATTAAATTTTTGAACAAAGTAATAATAGTCAGGTGTATTAAGTATTCTAAATTAATTTAAGAGGCGTAGAGTTATTCATCGAGTAAGATGTCGGAATATAACATATAGTAGTCAGAATACCAGTATTGCAGATCACATGCATTTTGTAAACCTTTTTGGTAAATAAGAAACAAACATATCATGTTACCATTGGTCATCGTTGGTCTCCACCAATAACCAACATATCGATCAAATTCTTCCTGGACGACGAATGGTGGGAAACCTGCAGACAAACCACCTAAAATGAGAATTACACAATATAAGGACATGAAGAAATGGAAAATAACTACAGATTGAAACTACAACATTTTGATGTCATGTTCTTGGGATAACTATATTATGGCGTCAAGCGACAAAATTTCAGATATATCAAAGTGAGTTGTGTAACAGATGGAATTCAATCATGTCAGGAGTGTAAGTTATTGTCAAAAACACTGGATAATCGTCAAGTTATATAGCGAATTAATTGAAGTTGACAATATGAATAATTATTGGATTCCAACTAATTGGTAAACAAAAATTGTATCTATTTAATGTACAATAACTAAAGGTCCTGAATTCAACACTTGATGAGGTTAACCAATACATATTACTGTAAAGTTAATCCTAAACTGAATTGAAACAATTATCCAACGTTATAGAACCATTGAAAACGTGAAAGCACTGGACGGCCGTTTCATCCTAATATGGGACTCCTCAGTAATGCGTATCCAAGATCTCGCACGTGAGATCCAAATCAAGAACCTTCGGTTTCGCGTGCGAACACTTCACTTTAATGGTGGTCTAACATTGATCGATCCATGATCTTAATTACAACTTAAAAATCTCCATAACCCTATACTGATAACTATTCAATGCTTTACAGTTCCCAATTAACAACTAATTTACATAAATTCATAGATGAAAGTCAATCATAAAAATATTTAATATTTCAACGGTTGAGATCATGAGTCAGTTGAAGCTAGACCACTATGGAAAACATGGAAGCACTGGACGGCTGTTTCGTCCTATTGTGGGACTCCTCAGCAATGCGCATCCACAATTTCATGATCTCAACCTTCGAAATTACTATAATATCCACAAAACTCCTTCTGATATTACTTATTTAATAATTCATAAAACTTACTATTATTTGTATGATTTGTTACTGGTATCCATGTATTTGTTGGTATATAACCAATGTAAATATTTTCATTTGATAAACATACAATAAAATCTGAATTGAATGGACACATAATTGGTTGAATTGCACTAAACAATGGAGCTTTGATTAGTTCCAAAGAATTAGGTTGTTCCTATTGGAAATTAGAATAGATCATTTATTAATTATAAAAATTTATTCGAAACTAAATATGACATAATATAAATGAAATCTCATTCTATGATAAAAACAACTGTTCAGAATGTTATTTGATCTACTTGAATGGATATCTAAGTAAGATTAGTTCATGATGTAAACTATACAAATTACACTAATAACAATCATATGATCACTAGTGACTAGATTTCAGAGGCAATTTTAGTTCTTATGAGAAATTGTGAATAGTAGGATTCAACCATGCCAGCTATGAAATAGTTATCGAAGTTAAGCATGTACATCATTATTGCCGATTCAATAGTCTAGAGATCAAGTGTTCGTCGAGAGACTGAATGTCCTGAGTTTGATCTTTGATAGATTCGTGAACGGGAACTGTTAATGAATTCAACACTAGAGCAAAACAGTTGTCCAATCCTTCCTGATTTTTAACCGTTGTTTATCTAAGATCAATTCGTGATGTAAACATAGAAAAATCCTAAAAGATTTTATTAATACATATTACATTACTTAGTGTTACACTTTATCACTTTCAATGTACGCTATGAATCTTCCTCTGATAAACACATTTAGTATACTTGATCAGAAATATAAGCTAAGATAATAACTGAAGCGGAACAACTAAACCCTAAATAAAATTCATTTGCCGATATGCAGAAATTCCTTTGATATCATCAATCGTCTTATAGTGTACGCAAACAATCGCTAGATGTATAATGTTACGTAAATATGAAAAGCCGATCGTGAATCTTTAATTAGGGTGGCTAGAATATGTCGAGCATACCCAATCATCATCATCTAGCTTGATGAGTGGTACTCATGCTCTTTTTTTGCTATAACCGGTATTGCTATTATTACGATTGCTTTCGGTATATATCTTATTAATTCCATCTCTTAGTGCTACAATATGGTAACGAGCTAATCTATGTTTTCTTCAAACATACAAAGCTTGTATTTCATGGGAACATTGAACCTCACATTTTCAGCCATTATTTCAAATCGACATTTCACCATGCAAAATAACTAGGCGGAAGTATTAGGGGATTTTTGGCCTATTGTTCTGAGAGACTACTTTTAAACTTCACCCGAAACATATATACAGATATATATCGTATAACAATAACACCAGTGTATTACAATAGGATGAATATTGTAAAAGCTGAAACTGTTGAAACCGGTTTTTTTTCAAATTATTACTATGATTTGTATTTTTATTATAAAACTAATAAGTGTCTCGATTACTGAGTACCTATATTCTGTATATTGTAAGCTTTCATCTAATCCATAAACTATTAGCTTACTGTTTATATGAGGTTTATTAATGATATCCAACTTTAACAGCAAAAGTAACTAGAACAACATTCCAACCTATGACTGAATGATCCAGAGTCGAACACTTTGACTAATAAACCACTTTTAATTAAGTAGCATTAGCTGTGTACTTCAATACAGAGCAAACTATAAATTAACAATTAACCAAATCTAAACAGATATATCTATATATAAACATCTTGTTAATACACAATAGAAAAAAAACATAACTAACTCCAAAACATGTATTGTCTTCAGTACTATAAATTTCACTTGATGCACAAATAATTAGTTTACCACAATTGGATAAACAATAATTGCTAACACCCGATACAGAAACACGCATACGTTCATGGATTAAGAAGTCGGTTAATGCAAGTGAATTTCTTTTTTTTTTGAAAAATAAAGCAAATTTAAAACCCAAAATAAAATATAAACTAATCAAACAAAAGAAACATAGTTTAATAATGATAATAATAAAAAGAAATTTAATTTCTAGTTTACATTATGGATTGATATTAGCCAAACAACTATGGGAACTAGAAAGGACTGGACAGTTGTTTTATACTAGTATGGAACTCTTCGGTAATATGCATCAATAACCGTTGCAAGGATCGGACACAGGACTTTCAAGCCTCAAAGTGAGACCCTAACCTTCAAACCAATGATCTGGTATACAATGGTTCAGATTGTAACGTGGTAGAATTCCAATGGTCACAGCTTCTCACGGGAACTCCAACACTTCTTTTAACGCTAATCACTGATGAACACATAATTATTATTATTAGCATAGGAAGATAAGCATATTGTTAAATTTTAGGTTTTTTTCACGAACTGGTGTTAGTTGTTTGCGGAGTCCCATGCTAGAATAAAACACCTCCCAATGGTTGGTTAGGGTCAACCCGTGATGTAAACGGCAAATTAACAAGTTATCGCAAATCTCCTACACTAAAAAATCGATTGCTAAAGGCAAAACAACTGTAACCAAACAACTGAAAATAATCTGATCCGTTTATGAAGAACATTTTAATACAACCAGCTACAAATCACTTTATTTGACAGCTACGGTATTATCCAGCTATTCAAACCGAAGCAGGTAGAGCCATATATCAACGGGTTGCATACATCACAACAACTTAATTTTCATAAGCGTATGTTTGTGACTGGATGGATGAATACTGAACATCTGAATCATTACATCGTAATTTCACTTTGATTAATAAGGTTTAAAAAAATCAAATGACTTACGGTAAAATAAATGGACATTTTTAGAAAATTCTTAACAACTTTCAAAATATACACAAATTACCTATGGAAATTCATTCTAAAATGATAGGCCCCAAATGCATTAGTACGTCCGAGAGCGGAGGAAGTCAGCTTTCCCAATCCGAATGATTTCACATGGCCACGTGCTTACAACTACTGCCTTTTCGCACCACGGACGTTGTTTACGAAATTGAGAGGATGAAAAGCGAATGTCTCACACTAATCGGGTTGGTCGACATGGAGAATCCACCTAAGGGAGTTGGAAAACCCTCATTCGAAACCAATGGTGCATATGAGCTGGCTGCAGTATCCTGAAGGAACGAAATGCGTATGAACCAATTATTGGTCACCGACTACCATGAGACTGCATCTTCTGACGTTGCTCCACTCTCTTGTGGATCAGACCTTTAGGTCGAAGGCTCTGGAAGTGGCCCCCTAAGAAAACCACCTGCTTCAATTTGGGCACATATACCTATCTATTCACGCAATTTATAGTCTATGCTGAGATTTTTATAGATTTTCCTTAAAATCAACAAAAAAATTATCTAGTAAACTTGCGGAAATAATCAACAACAGTAACACCATTCATCATATCATCTTACAAAGATTATGATAATAATGCTTACTTATAGTCTAAAAATTCATTAGGCAACAATGGATACCATATTAATTGATCATCGGAATTCTGCCGGATTAAATCAGCGAAAAACAATGAAGGTTTAGTACCAGGTTGAAAACTAGTCGACGGATAAGAAATGAAGTAAATTCGACAGCGTAGCTAAAATTACGAAAAATAAATGGTATGGATATATCACAGACGTAATAAGTGAATTCGGAAAACGCTCGCGCAGAAATGAAAGGAAAATTATAACTTCATTTTATCGCTAACCTCAGAATAAATGGAATGACTGTAGTTTTAAATAACAGATGACTGTAAAATTCAGAACGTGTATTAATTAGTTGGCTGTTATGCCAAAACTGACTAATTTTTTCCACTGAGAAATAATCATTTAGCTAACTCACTTCTCATACTAATAAAAGAGATTTTATCGTCAGGACAAGAATGATATTTGTTCAATATTTGTTTATAGACGACTTCAAACAGTACAATCACTAAACATCTCTTGGATATAAGACATCAAGTAGATACCTTGCAATCTTTCAAGGTGATTAATAAACATCCAGGCTCCAGTCTTCTGAACTTTGCTGATTTTGTTGCTACCAGGTATCATAAACCTGATTTGTGTGTTCAAAATCAATCCGTCAGCTACAACGTAGGA